AAACCCTTGCATTCGAATTAAAGGTCTGCGTCAGCCGTCAGGTAGCCTTATCAGTGGCGCACGAGATGCGATGATGTATGTCATTGATTGCATTTGAATGCTTTTGTTAGCCTATCCAGTTGAACCCACTAGCTGCTACGTTGTTCAATTATATATTGTGGAAAACGGGAGCATCAGTGTGGAGAAGATGTTGTTTACTCCAAAACTGAAACCAAGTCGTGCACACAGAACGCATATTTATCACATTTTCTAGAGGGACATCTTTCAGCGTTGCACTCGCGTCTCGCAGAGAGCGGCATGTTTAGAAAGCCATGTAAAATTAATGCAAGTTCAACTTTTAAAAAACATGTCTAAAGACGTTATGGCGGTTTTTCCCCATCCCACTGTATCTCATGTTTATAAATGAAGAAAGTAGCCTACTCTTTGTGATTGGTTTTCGGTCCTTTGTATTAAACTATACATACATGCATGGTGCTGTTTTTTTTCTAATTGTTTAAGCAACTTGATTAATTAAATATGGTTTATAAACATTATTTTAAACATTATGCACTTTTTTTCAAAGATAGTCGTGTTATTTTATTACGCTTTGAAGAAACGCGCATAATATTTTGCTCGATGCACCCTCTTGTGGCCTCAGGAGAGAAGCCAAAAGCACCCTAACTGAAATTATGCCTTTTAAATTCGAATATAATTCAAATTTTGATCATATTTAAGTAGAAAATTCGAAGTTTTTCAGTAATTTTGACAGCCCTACTGGCAAGATGCGCATTAAATATCGCATGCGATTTATCGTGCAGCCCTAGTTACCAGTGCGTTATAAAATTGATTTTGTTTTTAAATCCTTAAATGACCTGGCACTAGGGCTGCACAATATATTGAAATTATCGAAATATCGCAAATGTAAATATCGCAATATGCATATCGCAAGGGCGTGCAATATCTGAATAATTTTAATAATAGGCTACTTAAATCAAAACGTTGCAAAAGGTCAAAGTTTTAGTTCGACGCATATAGCAGAGAATTGCTTGACATTAAAAAGAGTTAAGTGCAATAAGTCGCAGAAAACAACTCTTTGCCGTCTCTTCTTGCTGTCTGACTCACATCTGAAGCGCGCGCACAAGCCGCATCTAGCGCAGCAAAGCGCACACACACAGAGACGCGTTTCAGGCGGCGCGCGTGACACCGACTTGATTCGTTTTTTGCATCTCCTCATGTTTGAACAGACACATACACACAGAATTATGTCAATAGTACCCGTCTCAACGATCATTCTTGTAAACGCAATCAGTTATGTTTTAAATGAATGTAAACAGCTGAGAAAGAAATCGGATGTGTATCATTATACTGGATCCGTGCAGTCGGATTTAAAGGGACAGCAGCCTATAAATACGTGCTGCTGAATATGTCACTAATGTTAATCAAACAACAAAACGACTTTAACAAAGATTAATCTAAATTTAATTCATACAGTGAACACTATGCAGTGTTATTTTACACTTAATTATTAAATTTCTGTACCTGAATACTACTGTTTATATTATCTATGCTTGTAAATTGTGTATTTCTTTTTTTCTTTTTCTTTCTACTGACTGTTCACTTGCCTTTAACTTTGCCTTTCTCAGACTATAGTTTTTGCTGTGGTATATGAATACATAATACATAAATACTTAGTGTATGGAAAGCAAAGTTACAATGATATAAAATTAGTGTCATTCATTTTTTTGTTTGAATGTTCACACTGATGTTAAAATTAAATTTTCTGATTTGTGACATTACTTTATGTACTGCTAAAACACTGCTGGTCACTTTCAGAAGTTGTAGTAATTCTTTCTTTTCCAAGAAAGAATGTGAAACAAATTGGTTATATAATTTTCATTTTTAAATATTTTAAAATATAATTTGATGCATATCGAACATCGCATTTTTTAACAAGGTATCGCATATCGCATTTTTCTCCAATATCGCATAGGCCTACCTGGCACCCTTTTATCTCTCTGACTTATTAAAAGAAAATAAGCCAACAAGATGTCTGAGATCGACAATAAACCTCTCCTTGGCTCAGCCTAGGTCGCGGTTAAAGACAAGAGGTGATCGTGCATTTGCAATAGTTGGACCGAGGGTATGGAATAACCTTCCTTCATCTGTGAAAGCTTCAAAGTCTGTCTATGAGTTTAAAACTAAGTTGAAATCCTATTTTCTTACCTTGGCTTTTTAACTTTGTATGTTACATTTTTGTTCTGGATTTTATTGATGCTTTTATTATTATTATTATTTTCTTCTTTCTGGCTTTTTATTCTATTTGTACAGCACTATGGTCAACTGCTGTTGTGTTTATTGGTGCTTAATAAATACATGAATGAATGAACTGGTTCAAAGAACCGATTTGTGTTCCCCGAAATGCCTTTTTTTTTTTTTTTTGCTGGTAAAAGCTGATTTGCATTTTAGGAATTACCAAGCACCATGGTTTCAACTACAAATCGTCTTTACTGTTCTACTGACTAAAAAAATCTTAAATAGCCTGAGGGTGAGTAAATTGACAACAAGTTTTCATTTTTGGGTGAACTGTCCCTTTAAGCTACAACACGTAATCACCTATTTCCATTTTTCACTTTTTAAAAGGTATAAAGTGAATCCAAAAGTTACTTCAAAGTTAACAAAGCCCAGTATTTTTAGATTTCAACCAAAAAATTGTTTAAGCAAGGGAATAAATGCACAAACAGAGACCACTCTAAATCACCAGACCAGGTGGCCGGTTGCATAAAAGGCTTAGACTAGTCTTAAAAGTTAGTCATCTAATTTTTTTCTTTAGCTTGGTCCAACTTGAATACGAAAAATAAAACTGGTTACCCCTTGGCTAATTGCTAGTTGGTCAAAATAGTTTTTAAAGGGGTCCTATTATGCTTTTTCACTTTTTGAATTTTAGTCTGTGTAGTGTGTATGTTTTGGGCATAAAAAAGATCTACGAAGTTACAAATCTTAAAGTCCACTCCAAAGGGAGATATTTCGTTTTTAAAAAATCCTTTTTCAAGAACTACAACGAAAGGCTCGTTCGGACTGCAGCCTTGTTTTCCGGGGTTTAGTGATGTCACAAAGCGGCCAATTAGAATATCATTAAAATAATTCCCGCCTACAGAAATTCGAATGGTTGGGGGGTGGGGAGGGGCGAGGTCGTGGTTAGAATGCTTGGTTGAGTGCATCAGACAAGACGATGATGAAGAAGAAGTGCTGCTGCAGAGTTAGTGCATCAGAGAAAACGAAGAAGAAGATCAGCTGCTGTAGCGTCAAGTAAGACGGAACTTGCTGCTTTGGCAAGGGGCGGGGCAGTACTGAAACACCATCTAAGCTGTTCGCCCGATTGATCGGCTGGCCGATTAATCGGCCGATTTTTGGCATTTTTTAATTAATCGGCATCGGCCGATTGTGCTGCAAATTAGGGGCAGCTAAGCGTTGTTGCAGAACGCCGGAGAATCTCTCTCTCTGGCTGTGTGAGACGGAGCAGCTCACACTCTGCAGCCGCTTCTTGTTCACACACAGCTTCAGCTAATGATGGCAGGGCAAAACAGACCGTTTCGAAAGCGTAATTACGTTTTACCCTACTAGAATTGATGCCGGAACGTTATCATATTCATAAGTGCAAGTCATTTGCATGTGAAAGTAGAAACATATGCAATTCAGACGAAACTTCTGGGCTGATTATAACGTCCACGATAACTTTCATGAAATGTGTGTTTGGGTCCGACAATAGCCTCCACGATGTCATCGCACTCTTAAGCAGCAGGCTGTGTAATATGTGTGAACTCTTTTATTTTTGTTATCACTTGGCCATTTGACTTATAGAAGTGCCCAGTGTTTCCCATACATTGAGTTATTTGTGTATTTGTGTACACAAATAGATTTTCCAAAAGGCTTATACTTCCTTGAATAAACTGAGCACTGCACGTTTCAAAATTAAAACGCAGTGTTTTTATATGAACGTATCTTTGAAAAGAACCGACTGTCTTCAGAAAATCTTCTATGTCATTTTCATTTCGTCTTTCCTGTAATGCCTGATAAAGTAGCGCTTATTAGATTACAGCCGTTACCGGGGAAACCGCTATATCTCCGCTCCAACAGTGCCTCCTGCTGGCAGAGAATGAATTTGCATTTGCAAATCTGTGAGAAACACTGGTGTCTGTCAGCAAACATAAACAAAAAGCATGCTTCAGGACTGTTTTGAGAAGGTGCTTAAGTTTTGAGTCATGAATTATTACTCTGAATTAGGCTACTACTACTATCTTGTATCCTGCAATAATAATTTACTCAAACTCACTTTTATGAGATGAAGGGGAAGAAGAAAAAAAAAAAAAGAAAATCGGCCAAACATATCGACCCAAAAAATCGGCATCATATATCGGCCATCGGCTGCCCTGATTTCTAAATATCGGCATCGGCCAGTGAAAAACCCATATCGGTCGACCTCTAATAAAAATCTTGTGTAGCATTATAAATTTAGCTTTAGATCAAATTAATGCATCCCTGCTGAATAAAAGTATTAATTTCTTAAGCCCAAACCAGCCACAAACCTCTAGACAAAAGCCTCACAGACGGGCACAAACTCTACCTGCAGCTGTTTAATGGTCTCTCCTCCTTTGCCGATGATGAGCCCCGCTTTCCCTGCTGGAATGACCATTTCCTGCATGTGGCCACTCCCATTGGTCGACTCGTGGAAGGAGGGAGGAGTGCCCCGCCCCCGAGAGATCTTATTTTCACATAGCTATGAGAAGCATTAAACATGGACGCGTGTGCATTTGCCGACTTGCCGTACTGTATTAAAGCTTTAATCAGGATAAAACCATATATTAAAAAGCTAAGATAAGCAGCAGCATTTACAAATAGCAGCATATCTAAAAGTATGAGACAACAACAAACAAAAAACATAGGCCTACCATTAAAAGCCGTGCTTGCACAGGTTCTGCACGATCCTCTTCAATAATATCCTCTGCTTCTCAATCGGGCTCAAACTGATAAGCGATATTAATGACGCCGTTGTTTATAATACAACCGGAGCACATGCAACTGAGGTGAGGGGCGGGACGGTTAGACGCGCACTAGAGGCGGTTTAGCCAATCACAACACACTGGGCTAGCTAACCAATCAGAGCCCATCGTCTATTTCTGAGGGCGGGGCTTCATGAAAGCAGGAAATGATCAGCGCGTTTCTCAGAGAAGGGACAGAGCGTGTGGAATAAAGATAAAAGAAAAAACCAGTGAACCACCCCTTTAAGACACAGTCTTAAGTCTTAACATAGTGGCTATGTTTATGCAACTGGCCCCAGGTCTGAAAGCTAAACCTGAACTATAGACGGACTCCTGTTCAGCCACATTAACAGCAACATAACAGCACATTTCTCAAAGACACCCAACCCTGCTTACCTAGAGAAACTTGTCTGCCTCCAGTTTGGGTGAAGGTTCATTCAACAAAGAAAAGAAAGACACAATACATATTCTTCTGGATCACATGCTGAAGTGATAATCTGTTTTGTTTTTGCAGGTTTAGCCATTTTAATCAGACGGTTAGTGTCACTGAGTCAGTGCAAACATTACACACCTGTGAGATCTCTCATGGCCTCACATGGACCCGATCACCATCGAAACACAGCAGCATGCTCTTGGTTTCATGAGAGAACAGAAAACATCCTGAACGTCTGCTGGAACCACAGCCACGGCACTCTCACCACTCTCATATCAACACACTGCACATGTTTAAGGGGCCTAAGAGATTGATTTAGGGTATATGTGATGCTCCAAATGAACACAGATTCCTATAAAACAAACCGAACAGAGACCACAGAGATCTCAGGAGGTAAACGGAGTACAATTTCCTTTAATCTGCAGGGTCATTCACATTTGTGTGATGCCATTAGGGTCAACATGGGTCAATGATGTGCTCATCTTTTTTTTTTTTTTAAATTACAAATGCAGTTCAAAAATACAATGACTTGAATACACATTTTCTATGATGAAATATTTACAATTTCTGAATTACGATTTAAAAACAAAACAGGGAGATACAACTGTCCTGATATCATAATGTAGTGAAAATCCTCATTAAAAGAATTACATTTGAGAGTTTGACATTATCTTTTATTATTATTTCTTAGAACAATATTAGTTTAACAAAACTGCTTCACTGATTAATATTTGGAAAACTTTTGTCTGACAAACTAATCTCATAAAATTAACAAAGTCATGTGGCACAACCTATAAGTATTCAAGGTGTAAAGAAAAGGTTTTTTATTTTTTTTTATGTTACACAAAACAACATTTTTAAAGTCAATAATTGCAAACTTTAGTTGATAGTGGTATGTTATTCAAAATCATATGAAACCTACAATTAATACAGAGTGCATTTCTTTAGTTTTTCAACTAAATTTGAATTAGATTTTTCTTTACCATGGACAATCTTAAATTCATTTTTTTTCTTTTCCAAAACATGAATGCAAAGTGGACATAGATCTGGTGGTTACCACTAAAATGAACTGAGCCTAATTTTAAGGCTTTAAGACTGCAATGAAAACAGTTTTATACATATGATTGATTGTTTAGTCAGTCTGCTCAGCTTGACTCTTTTAAAGAGGCCTTAATTTTGAAGACACCTAATTTAAAATTATGGCAGAGCAAAAGTTAACTACAGGCATTCATTCATTTAATGAACAGTAAAATGCTTAAAATAAGTAGCTGTTATAAAGCTTAGCCATTGCATCACCCTGTTGCACAATACTACAAACTCTAGTGCAGTACAAAACAGTGGTAGTCTTAAGTTCAGCTCCACTCATACCATTTGTCCACAGATGTATAAACTAGTGCCTGATGCTGGAGGCTTTATAAAACATGTGATTAGCGGGTCCACCCTATCTATCTTACACTTCCACATCCTCATTCTCCTACTGCACAGCAGAAAAGGGAAATATGAGAAACTATTTTAATAGACAACTGCGATATGTGCAATCATTAAAGACTACTATATGCTGGCTAGTATGCAGCAATTCAAACTTTAATTTAAGGAAGATTAGGCCGAGAGCACAGTCTCTCTGCTACATTTCGCACACATTTAGCTGTGACTATGTTCACACACGAGAGCATGAGATGTTTATTCACTGAGCCATAGATGTTCATGAGATGTAAACTGCTCTTAAGTACAGAACCCAATCACGCATTAACCTAGGACATGTCAATAACACACATTGTTAGACATTTCTGTAATTTCTACAGTTATTTACTGTATATCACCCAGTATAATACTGCAAATTCACTTTACAGTAAGTAACTGTAATACCCTTTGCTAGGGCTGCACGATAAATCGAAATGGAATCGAAATCGCGATTCGACAGAAGCTGCGATTGTCATGCGTATCTTTCAGTGAAGCACGGTTCTGTGATCAGCAGTAAATCTCCATCCGAAGGCCAGAGGGCGCTCTCGCTCTGAAACTCCAAATACACCCCGCAGAAGAAACCCAGGAAATGCCTATAGCGGTAGCTGCATAAACAGAAGATTTAACTGCTTTTATTGATTCAACGTTACTAATAAACACACGATTATGACAATATATGGTTTATCGGAGTTATTATTATTATAATTTTCATTAAAATAAAGTATATTTATAATGCAATGCCTTTATCACTGCTTAGAATACTATGAAATATGTTGCGTGCCTTATTCTGTGTAATTGAAGCCAGATCATCTCACAGAAGGATTTATTTCAAACACTCGACTGACTGTTTGGAGTAAAAACATGTTATTAAATGTGGAATTTTCACATGCTTTCAGATGGAGCAGCATTTACTACACAGAGCCGTAGTTCACTGCTTTACTAACAAAATGCACATGACAATCGCATTCGATTAATGGTGCAGCCCTACTCTTTGCATCATGGGAATTTTCTGTGACGTCAAACCCCACATACAGTGACTTACTGTATTTTTAAAAATTGCTGTATACTGAATTTGCCGTAACAGCCTCTTTGGCGCCATTCTATTGAGGCTGCTTTATTTTCCTCATTTCTCACATTTGGATTGACAAGATTTGAAT